TAATCTGTTTTATATGGTTCTGTTACGTGGACTCTTTCTTCTTGGGTTGTTAATTCTCAAGTATGTTGTACGTGCTGGTTCTTACGAGTTCTTTTAAGTGGGATTATTTTCTGGGGAAGGTTCTTATATGTTGTCATTTTGTGAAAGTATTCATCAAAATAGTTTGGTGTTTGCTTCAGCAAGGTGTCTGAAGAGGTTTTCCAAAGCAAGTTGAGTATTGTGTTGATTTGTCGGGATTCTGTAGCATGGAATCTCATGAGGATTTTCTCTCTTGTACTTATGCATAGAACAGGCATGTGGTTTCCATTTCTCTTAAGACATCACCTCGGTCCTCCAACCTTCCTCTTTTTTCTCCATTGCTGTTCCATAAACAGGCTTCCCTTTTGGTTCTATGAGCTGATAGAAATGGTTTTGTCCTATATTTACTGCTTTTCCAGAGTCCTGGTTTTACACAGGGGTTTTAGTTTCATTTTCTGTATTCTATAGGCTGATGGCCACTTTTCATCTACCCTTGTGGGCCTTAGAAACTCAGCTGTAGAGACTGTATCTGACCTAGCTTATAATTCCCCAAACTCCACAACATAAGCTCCTGACTTCAGATTCTGCTTTAGTTTCTTGCTTTGGGGGTTTTAATTTATTTTTTATTATTTATTTATTTATTTACTTTTTGAGACAGAGTTTTATTCTGTTGCCCAGGCTGGAGTATGATGGTGCAATCTCGGCTCACGGCAACTTCCACCTTCCAGGTTCAAGTGATTCTCCTGCCTCAGCCTTCTGAGTAGCTGAGATTACAGATGCACATCAACACACCCAGCTAATTTTTGTACTTTTAGTAGAGATGGGGTTTCGCTATGTTGGCCAGGCTGTTTTGAACTCCTGACCTCAGGTGGTCTGCCCGCCTCGGCCTCCCAAAGTGCTGGGATTATACATCTGAGCCACTGTGACTGGCCCTTTTTTTTTTTTTAAATCAGGTATATTTTAAATGCTGGGGTGTTGTGTTTTATCTCACAGTTCTGTGCATTCGTAACATTGGTAGGGGTTGAGGGAGAGTGTCCATGTTAGTTTAGTCTCTCATTTCCCAGAAATAATATTGTACTGACTGGTTGGTTGTATTTAGGAAGGGTGCTGATTTGGTATGTATTAATTTTCTATCATTTACTCTAATAATTCTGTAATTATTTTCAGGATTTTTTTATGTTGTTTGTCTTAGGTTTTCCAGAAATAGAATTGTGTCATCCAAAAAAACAGTGATGCTTTGCCTTTATAAATTAGCCTTGAAGTTTTTTATCTCATTTCTTTATTTTGTCAGTTCCGGTTAATTTCTCCAGTGGACATTCCTATATTGTTCCTTACTTTTATTTGAAATGGGTACTTTTGAGAATAATTTTTCAAATGCCCTAAAGCAGTTAATTTATCATGTATTACTTTTAAATATCTCAGTTTGCATATTCACTTTAGAAGTTATAGTGTAATTATTCTATACTAATGTCATCAGAATGTCATTTCAAGAGTAAATGACAAGAAGTAATACAAAAAATGAAATACAAAAGTGAAATATTCTTAATTTAGAATATTTAAAATATAAATTTTCATTCTTCTAGGTTGTTTCTTATGCTGATCTTCTATGTATTATTATATTTGCTTTGGTATTCTGTTGATTGAGTGTCAGTTAATATCAGGGTGTTCCAATAACCATTGGTAGTCCTTTCCCTGCTGCATGTGGAAAGATTGAAATTATATGAGAATATGTGTGAAACATGAAATTTCTAATGAAGAAGAAACTTCTATTATGGTTTGTCTGATGTACCTCATTATTAAAAGAAGACCTTTAGTTTTATTATATCAAATTGTTTCCTCAAACCCTTTTAGCATAAGATTCCTGTGGTTAAATATTAAATAATGTGCAATGGAAGATGCCATTTTAAATTAAGAATTCTTAACTTTCAATCACATTTTCTTAATTTGAGCAGAATCTGTTCATTTTAATTCAGCATCCTATTTTAAACTACTTGTTCCTGTAGTGTGATTCTATTCTTTCTTGCTGTTTATAATTTAGTACTGTATATAGGCACTTAAGAATGAGCATCTTGTTAGTATGGTCTTCATAATACTAAATACAGAATACCTCTCTCCAAGCAGATGTGTAGATATTTTACTCAGTTCTTTAACACACTTGTAAAATATACAGGTGACAAAAAGCTGTGCCTTTTGTGATTAGATTAGGTATTTTAGTAATTTAGTTTTTAATTTCCTATGCAATTTAAATATCCTATTATCCTTATGGGGGGGTGATACTTACTGTTGTACGTGTTTTATTTTGAATGCTCTTTCTTTTCTTTTTCTTGTTTTCCTCTCCCCACCACCCCGCCTTAAAGAGACAGGGTCTTGCTATGTTGCCCAGATTGGAGCACAGTGGCTGTTCATGGGCGCTGTATGGCTCACGTAGCCTCAAACCCTTGGGCTCAAGCGAATCTCCTGCCTCAGACCCCTCAGGTAGCTGGGACTACAGGCCCACACCACTGCACTCAGCTTACATTTTAAATGTATTTAAGTAACTCCAATCAGCCTCAGCTCAGAGGTGAACTCAAATTTTATTTCTGCAGCTTTATATTAAAATAACTTCACAAAATTTAGAATTCTTAAGAGAACTCTTGATACTCTATAGTGTAAATTCTACTGTACATGAATTTCTGTCTTAACTCACCTTAGATTGTTTTTATGGTCATCTCTTTCCATGTATTCAGCCTTAAAGAAAGATTCTACTTTTAGTCTCTCTTACATACCTACTTTGATGTCAGAATCTTTCCCTTCAGCCCATGCTACACATAGCTTCAGTAGTCACACTAAAGCTAGTAAAACATGTAATTGATTTCCTGTTTTTCTGAGTGTGCAAGACTTAGGAACTGGGCAACTATATAGCGTGTTGGCTGAGAGCACAGAGTTTGTAATTAAATCAACCTGAGTTTGAATCTTGATTCTTTTGTTGAATTACCTCTATTTGTCCTTACAGTAATTATTTTGATCTTTTAAGTTAGTTTCTCCTCTGTGAAATAAATATGCTATATCTACCTCACAGGGTGGTTGTGAGGATTAAGTAGACTGATGGATGTGGAACACTTCGATTAGTGCCTGGCTCAAGAATTGTAGTTCTTTTGTGTTACTTAATGTCATAATAGTAAACAAATTTACTCATCTTTGGTTACTTGGCCAGTTTTAGTTTGGAAAGTCTTAGAGACTAGCTTTAGGAAAAGCTGTCTAAAATGCATTTCATTTTAGACAAGTAGGAAGTTTTTATCAGTTGATAATAGTCTAATATAATTTTTGCTGTATGGATTAACCTTTAATTAAATGTACAATATAGAGTTAGAAACAGAGCTCTGGAATAGTTTTTAAAAAATAAAAGGTTTATATCAATATAGTAATTTGGCTTCATAGTTTTTTTTTAAGGAGTTTGGGGTTTAATTTTCTTTTACACACATTTGAGACATAACTTGAGAATTCCTCTCCTATTTTAATCTCAATGCAGTAGACATTGTGTTATAGTAGTAGGAGTACTAGATTGGGAATTCGTAGAGTTGAGTTTGAGTGTTGGCTTTGCTGTTGACTTTGCATGTATGTCCTGTGGTGTTTATAGCCCGACTTACCTCACCTACGTACTTTAGTTGCTCAGAAAACCAGAAATAATTATGTTGAGGCTCTTCAGAAAGTACAGAGGGCTATTCAGAGAAAAGAAAAGTATTACTTCAGTTCTCTGCTTATTTTTGTTCACCTACATGTTTTCAGAAAACGTGTTGGTATCTTATGAATTATTAGACATTGAAACTCATATCCCTGGTAATCATAATTTTGTGACTAGAGGCATTTTTTGGTAACCCTTTTCTTGTATTGTGAGGTGGCATATTACCTCAGTGTTGAAGGTTTTTAGGCATTCACCAAATAGCCAGAAAACAGTTCCTGGATAAGCTCTTTTTTTTTCAGGAAGAGTAACTGTTGCTCTAAATACCCTTTTCAATCTGCTCAGAACTGATCACTCCATTAAGCCTTTGATTAACTCTACCTGGTTTTAATTAATTTGCATTTCATCAGCATTTATGCATGTACTTGTAGTGCATTAGTGTATATTTGTTTTTTTTAAATTATTTTATGTCTTTTACATGTGACCTGGTCTTTTGGTCTTTTTTTTCTCAGCTAGCTTGGAATCTCCTGAAGGGTAAAGACAATTGTCCTTTCCCTTTCTCCAATGATAGAGGGTGCTCTGCACATAATATTTCTTATTGGTTGTGGTGGTTCCTCTAGAACATAATGGTGTCAATGGCCTAATTTTAAATAGTACGCATCTGTAGGAATTTTCAGGATATGCCTGTTTAGAGTTAATGACAAAAAGGCATCAGAACAACAGACTGCTTGATATTAAACACATGGCACTTAAGCTGCTATGTATTTCAACTTTTTTTTTTTTTTTTTTGCTTTTTCAAACAATTTTGTTAATTATATTTGGCTGAATGAAATCTAGTAGCTCTTCATAGATAATTTGAATTTTTAAAACTGTAATATGTTTGGAGAATGCGCTATTTGTATTGTTAATGATTCTTAATAAAAAAGGAATTATGCTTTTTATAAAAGCTTTTCTTTTATAAAAGGCTTAATTTTATAAAGAGCCCCAATTCGGTTACTTCCCACCCTTCCATTAATTTATTAAATTTTTGGTCATTCTTGCTATTAAAGTTTGTGATGTAAACCTTGATATGGAGGAGACTGTTCTTACAATAAATCTGCTAACATATTTGGGAATAACTACATTTGAAAAAAGAAACTTTACATTTGCTTTAGTCAGAGCTTTTTCTACAACAAAACAAGATAAAATTATTTCCTTCATCTTTGTGCACTTAAGATCCCAAAGATGATGTTTCTTCCAAATGAATGTTTGCATTTTATTTTCCAGACTTTTTCTCTAAAACCAATTATTGCTCCATTAAGAAACATTTTTACATCTTCTTCAGGAATGTCGTTGTCTGCTGGGTCTTCCCCTCTTCATTCCCCCAAGATTACTCCACATACTTCTCCTGCTCCCAGAAGAAGAAGTCACACTCCAAATCCAGCAAGTTACATGGTGCCTTCTAGTGCCTCTACATCTGTTAATAATCCTGTTTCTCAGACTCCATCTTCTGGTCAGGTGATCCAAAAGGAAACTGTTGGTGGAACGACTTACTTCTATACAGACACAACTCCAGCACCTTTGACTGGAATGGTATGTTTGCATTAAAGAGGACATTTTAGTACTCTCTTGTAACAGGTCCTTTTAGTAATGAGGTGGTCCACCCCCTCCTGCAGCTTTTTATTGTGATGCAAAAAAGTATTTCATTTTCTCACTTAGATGAGAAGTCTAGTCTCTTCTCAACTCTTCAAATTTATCTAGTTCTGCCTTACTAATAACTCTAGTTTTAGACTAATCTGGTTTAATCAGAAATTAGATTATATCCATGCTCTTACATTAGTACTCTATGGCATGTTTTGCTTATGGGTTTACCTTGTACTAGCTTGAGTTGATGCCTGTTGACATTTGTTTTTAGGTATAGATAGTTTAACCTCTAGTAAGAAGCTAGAAAAAGTAGATGGTATGTCCTCAGTAGTTACTGGAAGCAAATCAATGATAAACCCTTATTTCAGATGAGGTGGTTATTTAACAGCTAGATCTGTGGATGGTGGAGTGACACATAGTGATAAGGGGCCTGCAGTATGGCTCTTTGCTAAGGAGGTAGAAGAGTCAGACCAAAGAGAGCCATGATTATAGATGAGGAAAGAGTTACCAAAGGACTGGTGATGAAGTGAGAGAAGAATCATGAAACAGTTGGGAAGTGGTGGCCCCAGAGGAGACGTGAATATGAAGACCAAGAGAGGAAGAACATGGCCAGAAAGAAAGATTTCTTATCAGAGTCAATTAGTAATGTTCCAGGACAGGGAGAAGGGACAGGAGTCAAGGGGGCGAGAATGAATGGAGAAGGAGAGGGAAGGATTCCATGTTATGTAAATTGTACCTTTTTTAGCTTCATTACTTCGTCCGTATTCAAAAATTATTTTATTTACCCTAGAAAAATAAGTAGTAGATGAAGATCTCATGAGTGAGAAAGCCAGAGTCCACTAAAACAGGGGTCCCTAATCCTTGAACCATAGACCAGTGTTAGGAACCAGGCCTCACAGCAGGAGGTGAGCAGTGGGCAAGTAAGTGAAGTTTCATCTGTATTTACACCCACTCCCCATTGCTCTCATTACCATCTGAGCTCCTCCTTGTGTCAGATCAGCGGCGGCATTAGATTCCATAGGAACATGAACCCTGTTGTAAACTGTGCATGCCAAGGATCTAGGTTGTGTGCTCCTTATGAGAATCTAGTCCTTGATGATCTGTCACTGTTTCCCATCACGCCCAGATGGGACTGCCTAGTTGCAGGAAAACAAGCTCCCATTGATTCTATATTACGCTAAGTTGTATAATTATTTCATTATATGTTACAATGTGATAATAATAGAAATAAAGTGCACAATCAATGTAATGCATTTGAATCATGCCAAAAATATCCCTTCACCCCCACCCCCTTGTCCATGGAAAAATTGTCTTCTGCGAAATCAGTCCCTGGTGCCAAAAAGGTTGGGGATTACTACATTAAAATAACGGAAGCTGATCTAATCTATAGACATTTGACAGTCATAGATGATAGGCTTATATGAAACATTATTTGGATTTCAATATGCCATTTTGATCCTCAAAGTTAACTTATTTTGATTGAATTTAATATTTTACTAAGAGAATTTGAGTGAAAAGAAAGCATACTTCTTTTTTTTGTTTGCGCCACATTGTTTTTAGACTCGTGAATCTATGTACTTATGAAACTGTTTCTCCAATTGTAAAATAAGGATATTAATCTAACTATTCTATGAGAAATAGATGTGAAAACATTTATAGAAATAGTTGTAAGTCATGTAAACTGCTTTTTAAAAATAATAAAATAGCTAACAGTTTTGTGGGCTTTTTAAAAATCAGAAATCTTTCAAACATTATCACAGAACCACTTTCCAAACAGAAGATCAAAAAAATAGGTAGGTAGAGACTTCGCTTTGTTCTTTCAAATAAGGAATCCATGAGTGTTTTAGCCTTTTTCGTTTATTATGTTTTATAATTTACCTTTTAATTTTATTTGTAGAAAGAAATTTAGTTTAATGTATATGGAGGCTCTTTGGCACAAAATTACCTCCACCAATTTTATAGAGATTAAATTTACCTCCACCAGTTTTATAGAGATTAAATATGGCACGTTTTAATAATGTTTTTACCCCTCACACACTATATATATATTTATTATTATTGTTATTATTTATTATTTTTTTTTCTTGAGATGGATTCTCCCTCTTTCACCCAGACTGGAGGGCAGTGGTGCAATCTTTGCTCACAGCAACCTCCGCCTCCTGGGTTCAAGCATCCTCCCACCTCAGTCTCCCTAGTAGCTGGGACTACAGACGCACACCACCATGCCCGGCTAACTTTTGTATGTTTAATAGAGATGGAGTTTTACCCAGTTGGCCAGGCTGATCTCAAATTCTTGACCTCAAGTGATCCACCCACTTTGACCTCTGAAGTGTTGGGTTTATAGGCGTGAGCCACTGTGTCCAGCCTAAACTATGCTGTTATATAAGGAAACCAACACGAGAAAAAAGAGATATTACTCTTCCTGCAGACACAGGCTAAAGGAAACCTTACAAGTATCACAAAACTGCTTCCTAGTTGAGATCTAGATCAAAGCAATCATGTTGAGGCAGCACAAATCAGCTGAATTCCTTTTTAAAAGAGAAAACAGTTTCATTGTTTAAAATGAAAGAATGAAGAAATAGAAAAGATATTTAAAACTGAACTTTGATTTTGTATCATGGACCAGTGAAGGAGAGACAGAGAAAAGAGTGATAAAGAGAAGAAAGGGTGGTGGGATGAGTCCAGTTGGAAGAATGAAAGACAAGAAGCTGGAAGCTGATGTAGTAACTTTATTGTAGTTTGCTTGGAAGGTAAATGTATTATTGTATCCTTCTGTTCACTTAACCTGCTGACCTAGAATGGGTTTGAATAACACTTTGTTTAGTTTGGCCACAAAATGCCTGTGAAGGGGAGAATTCTTTGGGCAGTCAGGGCAATGTTCCTTTGTTACCTCCCAGTACCCCAACACCTTTAATTTCTCCTTCCTTGCTTCCAGTTGCTTTCAAAAAGTGGTGATGAACTGTTTGTATAGTTGCCGCTTAGTATCCAAGGGGGATTGATTCCAGGACTCCCACATATAGCAAAATTCCTGGGTGCTCAATTCCCTGATACAGAATGACATAGTATTTGTGTAGATCTTATACACATCCTCCTGTATACTTTAAATTATCTCTAGATTACTTATAATACCTAATGCAGTATAAGTGGTCTGCAAATAGTTGTTACACTGTATTTTTAATTTGTATTACTTCTTATTGTTGTGTTGTCATTTTTTTCCCCTGAATATTTCCTACCCATGGTTGGTCCAATCCTTGAATACAGAACCCAGGGATACAGAAGGCTGACTATGTGACATTTCTTCCAAAGAGCTACTTTTGTCTTCTCAGTGGAGCTTAAATTTTACTGTATCTGAATAAATGTTTTCTTTCTCATTAGGTTTTTTTTTTTTTTTTTTTTTTTTTTTGAGACAGAGTGTTGCTCTGTCACCCAGGCTGGAGTGCAGTGGCATGATCTCAGCTCGCTGCAGCCTCCACCTCCCAGTTTCAAGCGATTCTCCTGCCTCAGTCTCCTGAGTAGCTGGGATTACAGGCGCCTGCCACTAAGCGTGGCTAACTTTTTTTTTTTTTTTTTTTTTGAGATGGAGTCTCGCTCTGTCACCCAGGCTGGAATGCAGTAATGCAATCTCGACTCACTGCAAACGAGTTTGCAGTAGTGCAAACTCGCCTCTGGGTTCAAATGATTCTGCCTCAACCTCCTGAGTAGCTGGGACTACAGGTGCGTGCCACCACACTCGGCTAATTTTTTGTATTTTTAATAGAGACAGGGTTTCACCATGTTAGCCAGGATAATTTTTGTATTTTTAGTAGGGATGGAGTTTCACCATGTTGGCCAGGCTGGCTCATTAGATTTTTAATTGATTACTGAAATATTATTTTTATTTATTTATTTATTTATTTATTTATTTATTTATTTATTTGAGACGGAGTTTCGCCCTTGTTGCCCAGGCTGGAGTGCAATGGCGCGATCTCCACTCACTGCAACCTCCACCTCCCGGGTTCAAGCGATTCTCTTGCCTCAGCCTCCCAAGTAGCTGGGATTACAGGTTTGTGCCACCACACCTGGCTAATTTTGTATTTTTAGTAGAGACGGAGTTTCTCCATGTTGGTCAGGCTGGTCTCGAACTCCTGACCTCAGGTCATCCGCCCACCTCAGCCTCCCAAAGTGCTGGGATTACAAGTGTGAGCCACCATGCCAGCTGAAATATTATTTTTAATATGAAATTCTTTCAGAAAGTATTCTATAACAGCTATTCTCTGAGGTTTTTACTTCAATATTATTTACAGCTTTAAAATGTATTAAAATTTATTGCTATCATGTAAAGATTAAAATTTTATCAAAACACTGATAAAGCCTATCGATTATGAAAAATTAGTGAGGCTGGGCATGGTGGCTCACACCTGTAATCCCAGCACTTTGGGAGGCCGAGGCAGGTGGATCACCTGAGGTCAGGAGTTCAAGATCAGCCTGGCCAATGTGGTGAAACCTTGTCTCTACAAAAATAGAAAAATTAGCTGGGCATGATGGCGGGTGCCTGTAATCCCAGCTACTCGTGAGGCTGAGGCAGGAGAATCACTTGAACCCGGGAGGCGGAGGTTGTAGTGAGCCGAGATTGCGCCACTGCACTCCAGCCTGGGCGACAGAGCAAGACACTGTCTGAAAAAAAGAAAAAAAGAAAGAAAAATAGTGATTATATTTACCCCCTTCCTACCTTTTTAGGTGTTTCCAAACTATCATATTTATCCTCCGACTGCACCTCACGTTGCTTATATGCAACCGAAAGCAAATGCACCTTCCTTCTTCATGGCCGATGAACTCCGACAGGTATGCTTTCAGAATTCGTAGTAAGAATACTTAATGTCTCCTGTGCTTTAGTGAACAGGGGAAAGAACAGAGCTCTTTTCAAATCATATTATTTAATCAAATATGCTGTAGTAAAGCACATCGAATTTATAAGTTTTAATTGGTGTGTTTAAGGAAACCTGTCTTTTAAAAAAATTTCAAATAAATTTTGTGTTAGGATATAAAACGTAGAATAGCTATTTAAATGGTTCGCTCTTCTGTACTTCATTTTATTTCTATTGAAAAGGCTCTTTGAAGTATATAAATAATTTCAATGGTTTCTAACAGTATTCTTCTAATAGGTGTAGGTTAAAAATAAGTAGTTTGGCCCAGGAAATAACTTTTAAGAGAGCTCAATATTTTTTTAAAAGAATGTTTTACAAAAGTGTTTTGTTTAATTTTTGGTAAACAACTAGTTATTTGATATGTAGAATTTCACTTTACACTCAGATTCTCAGAAATATTTTTGTTTCATAGAAGTGAATTCTACCAGTATAGTGCTTTTTAAATTAATTATTACCAGCTTACTAGTAGACCTTGAATTTTCAGCCACAGTGTTAGTCATGTGTTTTGGGTAGCCCAGCTACCTGTGTGTAAGTGGCACAGCTACTTAAACTCAGTCTTAATTATGGGCAAGTCTAAGTCTATCTGGGCCTGGAGTTCAGACATTTTACCATGTTTAGAAATGTTGTTTCATGATTTTAATATTTAAAAAGTGCACATGCCAAAAATATTAATATTTAGGTTATGTAATTATAATAGGAAATCCAGGGTTCAGAATCTGTGTTTAAATAGAAATATACTTATTTCTGTTTCATAGGAGCTGATCAACAGACATTTAATAACAATGGCTCAAATTGATCAAGCAGATATGCCAGGTAAAATGCAAGTTGATCCTTCCTCTCTTTTAAAGGCTGTTATAATTCTTATGTGGTAGTACATGTTTTATGCATTACTAAGAAGAGTTCCAGGCTGGGCGTGGTGGCTTATACCTGTAATCCCAGCAGTTTGGGAGGCTGAGGCGGAAGGATTGCTTGAGCCCAGAAGTTTGAGACTAGCCTGAGCAAAATAGTGGGAACATGTCTCTACAAAACATAAATGAGCTAGGCGTGGTTGTGCACATTTGTAGTCCCAGCCACTCAGGAGAGACTGAGGCAGGAGGATCACTTGAGCCCTCAAGGTCAAGACTGCAGTGAGCTGGCTATAATCGCCCGACTGCACTCCAGCCTGGGTGACAGAGTGAGACCCTGTCTCAAAAAAAAAAGAAAGAAAGAACAGCCCCAAGATACTACTGATCATCTAGTTTATTTCTGTTAATTTTACGTATGTTCATAAAAAGTGTATATAGTTTTAGAATTCATGGTGATTTACTGTGCACTAGAATATTTTTATCTCCTGAAACTTAATAAAGCATGGGTTCTTAAGCAGGAGAGGATGGTAATTATTAGTACCATTTGTGAGACTACTGTGTGCCAGACAGTATACTAATTAAATACTTTACATGTCTTACTTTATGCCTCACAAACATCCTGTGACATATTATTTCCACTTTACATATGAGGAATACTGAAGTTGGCAGGTTAAGTAACTTACCTTTAGAACCAATGGCTGGTAAATAACTGACTGATTCCAGACTTAAACCAAAGTTTTTCAGACTGTACCACGATATTTCTTAAAGCATATTAAAATATCTTTCCTTAGCTTACTCTGTATAAATGAAATATGATATAATTTAGTAAAATTTCATAAATAATACAGTAGGAACACATTTGCCATAAAGATCATCTCAAAATGCCTGGTTGTAATCAGGAATTCAGCATAGTCTAGTGTGTGTTGTCTCTTGATTGCTAAAGAATTAAAAGAAATATGGCTGTTATTTCTTAAGATGGATCTTTCCAGGTAAGGTGGGAAGGAACTTACTTGTCATAACCTTTGAAATATTCATCTTGGAATTTTTCTTAACTGTTTAATATTGTATTTGAGGCTTTAGCCAGGTTTTGCAAAAGTTTAAAAAGAAAAAAAATGGAAGGCACAAAGACTGGAAAGGAGAAAATAGAACTGCCATCTATAAATCATGTGACTGCAGATTAGACATTATTTGAAATAACAAACTGTAGAAAATGGCTGGATATAAGATTAATACATCAGTTGCATTTCTGTAGGCCAGTACCCAGTTAACTTCAAAATATAATTAAAAGCAAATGCTGTTTAAAAATGCAATATCAGTATGTAGGAATAAATACAACAAAAGATAGGTAAGATTTCAGCAGGGGAGATTTATTCATTAAGAAGTATTAAATAATATAAAGTGAAATTCTGTAGATTAGTGGAGATTACTCATGATTAGGAAGACAGAACAAGTAAGATGTCAGTTTTTCTAAACTGACATATAGATCCAGTAGAATTCCAGTCAAAGCATAACTTCCAGACAAATCTTTTCATGAAGTATGATAAAATGTATCAAAGAATAAAGGGCCAAGACCATCCAAGGTGCTTTGAAGAGTATGGTTGTTATTTATGTTCATATGAAGAATTTGTTTGTGTATTAGGGAAGGAGAGGTTTGATTTGAGTCTACAGTAACTAAAACGTGATGATGACACAGGGTTAGACAGATTAATGGAACAGATTACAGAGAGCCCAGACACGTTCTGTGATAAAGGTGGCAAATCAGTGGGGAAAAGAAAGCATTGGAAAAATGGTTTTTGGTTTTTTAATTAAAAAAATAAACTTTGATTGAGGCAGCATCTTGCTCTGTCACCCAGGCTGGAGTACAGTGGTGTGATCGCAGCTCACTGCAACCTCTGACTCCTGGGCTTCAGCATTCCCCCACCTCAGCCTCCCAAGTAGCTGGGGCTACAGGTGTACACCACCACACTTGGCTAATTTTTGTATATTTTGTAGAGAGGGTCTCACCATGTTGCCCAGGCTGGTCTTGAACTTCTGGACGCAAGTGCTCTACCTGCCTCAGCCTCCTGAGAGTGCTGGGATTACAGGCATGAGCCACTGTGCTTGACCACAAAAAATGGTTTTCTATATTGACAAGATAAAATTGGGTGATTATCTCAAGCCACATTAAAAAGTCAACTTCAAATAAATTAAGAACTTATATGTCTAAAACAGAACTCTAAAACTCCTATTGTAAAATATAAATGAATGTATTTTATCTACTTTTAAAATACTTTAAAAAATAAAAACTAATTTTATCTGCATTTGCAGTGATGATAAAATATTTAAAATTTTTTTGTCACATTCTCTTTCGGCTATCCATGAGTACTTTACATCATTCATCAGTACGCACACAATTTTCAACTTAAGACATTTTCAAACAAACACCGCCCTATGTTTCTGACTATCCCTTCATGCTTAACATTTGTTTACATTATAGTTCAACAGTTTGACACTTGATCATATAGTTGTTGGCATCATGAATTACAGTGCAGGAACATATTCATCTACTTAATTTTTTTCTTCTGTAGGAAATATTTTTTTCCTTAGAAGAAATACTTCAAATATTTCTAAACTGATGTATATATAGATTCAGTATAATTCAGAAATACTTTTATAATTATTTCTACTTTTAAGCATAAAAAATGTACATAATTGATCAACTGATGCTCTTTTAAAAATATATAAAAAAGAAAACAGCTCCGGGCGCAGTGACTGACACCTGTAATCCCAGCACTTTGGGAGGCCAAGGTGAGTGGGTCACTTGAGGTCAGAAGTTTGAGACCAGCCTGGCGAACATGGTAAAACCCCATTTGTACTAAAAATACAAAAATTAGCCACGTGTGATGGCGCCCACCTGTAATTCCAGCTACTCAGGAGGCTGAGGCACAAGACTCGCTTGAATCCGGGAGGTGGAGGTTGCAGTGAGATTGTGCCACTGCGCTCCATCCTGAGTGACGGAGTGAGACTCTGTCTACAAAAAAAAGACAGACAGAAAAATGTAAAGTAGAAGTGATTTTAAAGTTTAGTACATAGAACCAAATTGCTTTCCAAGGGATATCAGTTAAACACCATTGATTTGTAAGTTGTAATAATTTACTAGCAACCTCATAGCAAACGAGTGCCTAATATCCTTGGGAATTGCTCTGTTCTTTGTATTTTCATAGTGTATTAGCTCTCAAAGTATGATTCCTTAACCAGAGGCCTCGTTTTCATTGACTTTTAGGAACTTGTTAGAATTGTAAGTTCTTGGATCCCACTTCAGATTGAACTCAGGGATTGGGGCCCAGCAAACTATGTTTTAACAAGGCTTTAGGTGATTGTGACAGGTGCTGACGTTTAAGAACCAGTGTCATTGCGAATTGTACTTCTTAAATGGGGACTTTACCTCTTACATGTTTTATATAAATCTGTGTTCTTTATTTTTCTCTAGGCCTCTTGAGGGTAAGAACGTATATTTCTTTAGTTTAGGTTCATTAGTACATAGTAGGTGCTCAGTATATTTTACTGATTTGAAATTAATCCTGTATTAAGTGCTCCTTAATAAATGAAATAGCTGGAAAGCAAAATTTATCATTTGACTTCCTTATGGACATAGTGTTCATTCAAATACAAACTAGGTAAATGCACAAAAGTAAAAGTTACAACTGTATTCACTTGTGTGTATTCTTCCATTATATTGCTTTTATTTTATTTATTTATTTATTTATTTATTTATTTATTTATTTATTTAAGAGATAAGGTCTTAAATGTTGCCCAGGCTGAATTCAGCTCCTGGGTTCAAGTGATTCTGCTGCCTCAGCCTCCCAAGTAGCTAGGACTGTAGTCACATGCCATGACACATGGCAGTATACTGCCTTTATTTAAGTAGAACATGCCACTTGATGACATTTTAATCATTCTACATTTGTTTTTCATTATGGCCCAAATGCCATGTAGAGATTATGATTATAGAATCAAAAAGTCCTGGGTTTGCATCCTACCTTTCTCTCTCAGCTATGCAATCCTTATTATCTTTATTTATGAAATAGGGAATTATACCTCATGGGATTGTTGTGAGAACTAAGAAATAATGAGCATAAAGTATTTGGCAGATGCACAGGAAGGATCATTTTGAGCCTGTCTTCTGGAATTAGTTTTCTTAATAGGGTTTCATCTGTGTTTCTTACCAGTCAGAGGTCAAAAATTATGAGTTGTTTTTGTTTGTAGGTTTTTTTTTTTAACAGACATAATACCATGTTTTAAAAATAGTGTTAAACATGTATATTATAAAACATTTGGCAAATACCAAATAATGTAAAGAAAAGAATAATAATTCTCCCTTTAAAAGGTTACCATTGTTGCCATCTGCTATATTTTCTTCTAGTTAGTTTACTATGGCTGTACTACATGTTGGGTTATCTTCCGTTCACTTAAAATATTGTGAGCATTCCGAAGTCATTCAAGACAGTTAACAAAGTGAAAAGTATAAGTTGGTGTTCAATTGGAAAACATGATTGTATTTGAATCATTAAAAAATACATGTCGTTTTGATTATAAACCTGATAACATGTTTGTTCTACAAAAATTTATCTCTAGGTGATAACTCAAATTGTTTATAAAAATTATTTCTGAGAAACAAATTTGTATTGTGCTATAAAAGGAAATGTTTTTGAATGCATGAACTTTAGTTGTTCTTTGGTTATTTGGTCATATTATAATGCCTATTTTTATTGATACTGAAGCTAGTTTGTCTTATGGAATTGTTATGTTTATTCTATAATACAAGAGCACATTGTGATATACAAGGCATTTATAGTAAATATGATTTCTTCTATATTTTTGAGAAAGATTTATGAATGTCTGTATTTTCAAGTCTTCTTATGAATTACTCTAGCAGTTCCTACAGAGGTTGACAGCTACCATAGCCTATTTCCTCTAGAACCACTGCCACCTCCCAACCGGATACAGAAATCAAGTAATTTTGGGTATATTACATCTTGCTACAAAGCTGTAAATAGCAAAGATGATCTACCATATTGCCTTCGGAGGATACATGGTAAGGAAGATCAGTTATCTTCTTTTATAATCATATCATTGGGGCTAAGATTATTCAAACCTTCTTGAATATATTATTTAACATATGAATGGAAATTTTTTATTTGGAAATTAGTACCTCATGAGCAATGTATAATATGGCATTTTCTTTCCATTTCTGATAGAATATGAAGGAGACGTCAATTAGAGTTTACTGTAGTAGAAAAATTGTCTTTCAGGTTTTCGTCTTGTTAACACAAAGTGCATGGTGTTGGTCGACATGTGGAAGAAAATTCAACACTCAAATATCGTAACTTTGCGCGAAGTATTCACCACTAAAGCATTTGCCGAGCCCTGTGAGTAACTTGTAATTTGTCTTTTTGCTAGTGAGCTTCATTATTTGAAGCCAGCTTTCAGTAATGAGTGTTTGTGTTTTATTTTAAGCTCTTGTGTTTGCATATGATTTCCATGCTGGAGGAGAAACTATGATGAGCAGACACTTTAATGACCCTAATGCTGATGCCTATTTCACCAAGAGAAAGTGGGGTAAGAAAAAGATACAGGCAAACTATATTTTGACTAATGCTTTTGCTCTGTGGAAGAGTAGTTTTCTACTTTAAAATATGTATCATTTTTCCCTGTAATCATTTAGTTTAAAGACTGTTGCATTTTGTATTAGTCCGTTCTCATGCTCCTGATAAAGACATACCTGAGACTGGGCAATATACAAAAGAAAAAGGTTTAATGAACTTACAGTTCTTTGTGACTGGGGAGGCCTCACAATCATGGCAGGAGGTGAAAGGCACATCTCACATGGCAGCAGACAAGAAAAGCAAATGAGAGCCAAGTAAAGGGGGTTTCCCCCTATAAAACCATCAGATCTCATGAGACCTATTCCCTACCACAAGAACAGTATCGGGGAAACTGCCCCCATGATTCAGTTATCTCCCACCAGGTCCCTTCCACAAAACCATGGGAATTCTGGGAGTTACAATGCAAGTTGAGATTTGGATGACACGGCCAAACCATATCACATTTCAAAAAGAAATATGTCAAAGAAATGGAGTTGATGGTCAAGAAGTTAGGATATAATGTATTTTGCATATTTACTAAGATAAGGTAGATTTTTGAAGACTCACATAGATATCAGATATTTAAATAACTGGGAATGTGTTAAAATTGTTTTTCTCTTTAAAATGTTTTTCTTTTAAAATTATAATGCTCTCTTAATAAAGGTGTCTTGGAAAATTCAATAGCTTAGTTAGGAACAGTCTTTATGGCTTCCCTACCTAAGTGCAACCGTTATGAATCTTCTAGTACATTTCTTTCCAGTCTTGCTTTGTTTTGTTTTCATCTCCTTTTGCATTGTTTTGTTTTTGTTTTAACATTTTATATCATATTACATCTTTTCTTTATTGTAAGTATTTTCCCTATAGTTTTTATATTCTCTCAATATAATTTAATGATTCCTACTATGACTATATTGTTCTTTAGATAATTATTTCCCTAAACAAATGCTTTAGTTTGAAGGTTGGATTCCATATTACTTAATCTAAGGTTTCAAAATAGAATTTTAAGTAACTTTTCCTTAAACATGGAATATTTTATTTTTTGCCCCTTTCTAATATATACTTAAAGAATTGTTTTATCATTGAGATTTTGCAAACAACCAGAATACTTGAAGTCTAACAAATGTGTGTTAAAGGGTAAATGATTTCAGAGAAAAATAAATCCATTTTGAGATGTTCTATTCATTAATTTATGTATTGGGGGAAGGTCTCAGTCTCTGGGGGCAAGAAAGAAGCATCACATTATGCTTTTTAATCTTTTTAAGATTTTCTTGACTTGAAAATTAAAGAGGAGGGGAGAAAGATTTGAGTCCATATTCTAGGATCTTTCAGATTGCAACTCTCTTTGAAGACTCTAGTTATAGACAAAAATAGATTACTTCTGTTTACTTGTTACTTCGCTTTTTGCATTCTGACAGTTGAAAAAAGAAAGTTGTGGTTACATGGCTGTTTCACATTTAACATAGAATGTGGTCATTTTTTTCCTTTTGCTATGTCATCTGTAGACACATGCATAATTTTCTGGAAGGGGATGTGGTACAACTTTTCTTATAGATGACTATAGTTGTTGCTCCAATTTATTTTGGTAGTAACACCTGTGAAATGACTGTTGGCTTTAATTTATAACTGTGTTTCTCAACTTAAGCAGTATTGACATTTTGAGCTGGATAATTATTTTTGTGGGGGCTGTCTTGTGCATTTCAGAATGTTTATAGTGGCCTCTTCTGACTGAAGGGCCTGTTTCTGCCTACTGAATGCCAGTAGCAATCCCCCTCTACCCCAATTGTAATGCCAGAAATATCTCCAGATGTTGCCAAATGCTGGAGTGGTTTCTTTTGAGACCCACTGTTTTATAGCATTCTTTTCCAGTAATTTTTTAATCGTAATTATTCTGTTTTTGGTGTTCACTGATTAATATACTAATGTTTACATTTTCATAGGAAGTAGTCCTTTTAATATTTTAAAGTATTGTTTGAGTAGTCGTAACTTCCCTAACCATACCATACATGCATAAAAGCCTACCATTTTCCTATACTATGTAATTTATTATCTTAGCACAAATGAAAAAAATAGCAAAGTATAAGGAATATGTTAATTTAGAAAATGGGAAGAATAGCATACCATATGGAGTTGATACAAGATTCAGAATGAGTCTATATCAGTAAAACAACTAGAACAGAGTCTGGCAGACAGTAAGCACTATATATATGTTTGCTGTAAAAACTCTGTTTCCTTATTACTACATTTATTAATAGTTTCATTTAAACGATTGATAGTCATTTTTGAGATTGGCTTGGCATTTGTTACCAGTGCCATTTTTTTGAGTCTTCTTACACATATTTCCAGAGTGTATTATCTTCTGTCCAAATTAAGAGATAATTATTTTTGAATTTTGTATATGCTGCTTACCGGAAATTTTATTTCAAGCCATAAGTACATATTTGCTTTTATTGTAAGTACATAATTAACCATTTAATTATGTTGCTTTTTATAACTGATTCACAAAAGGTTGTTTTACAACAATATGAATATAAGGTCGACAGGGCGTAGCGGCTCATGTCTGCAATCCCAGCACTTAGGGAGGCTGAGAAATATGGATCATTTGAGCCCAGGAGTTGGAGATCAGCCTGGGCAGCATAGCAAAACTGTCTCCACAAAGAAAAGAATATAAGGACATATTCCTTGGAATAATTACAAAATCTTGATTATATTTGTATGTCTCCTTTTCTACTGATTTACAATATATTAACAATGACCTAGAAAATATTATCAAAAACCACTTAATGAGTTAATAGAATACACCTTTGTGATAGAGGGGGCCGAGTGGTATAAGGAAAACGAACATTCACCATAAGTGATGGTAGAGACTTTTATTTTCATCAAGCCACACAATGAACAGCTCTCACATGCCTAAACAATAATACAGGGTAGGATTAGCCAGCCACATTTTAAGTGGAATAACCTCTACAGTTTCTGTTTTTATATTTATTTGGTTAACAATTAAATATAAAGTCTTACTTTAAACAATTTTTATTCAGTAATTATGTGGTTACAGAAAAGAGCATTTCAGTGAGAGCCCTGTTGCTGGTAACAATATAAAAGTCATAATCTCGGACAGGAACCTTTGGGCAATAGATTAAACTTAAATTACACAGATACATACACACACATATATAAATTGACATGTTGTGCCATGAGTGTACATGAATTATCTTTGCTAATTTTGGTTTTAATATTTTAGTCTTTTAGTTGATTACTTAAGATGTCATTTTTTGGATTTCTTTGCTGTATAGGTCAACATGATGGACCGTTGCCCAGGCAACATGCTGGATTATTGCCAGAATCTCTTATTTGGGCATATATTGTCCAACTAAGTTCTGCATTGCGTACCATTCATACAGCAGGTTTGGCATGTCGAGTTATGGATCCAACAAAGATTCTGATAACTGGCAAAACAAGGTACTAGCATTTTGAGTTTTGGTTTCTTTTATTGAGCATCTTACCTTTGACAACTTAGTAAACAAAACATGATTGTTTTAATTCTGCCTTTGCATATATTCCATCCAGAAGAACTTCTATGACTTTGAATTAATTTGTAAGCTTTTTAAAAAAAAAATGTTGAATTCTGAATAAAATGCCTGATTATTAACCAAAAATCTTGGGAAAGGTTAGGGAATATGTGGTTAGGGTTAGGGGAATATAAAGATAGTAACAGTACAACTTTTCTATGTAGCACCATGGTTCACAAATTCTAGCATGAATTAGAATCACCTGGAGGACTTATAAAACACAGCTTGCTGGGCCCTACCCCAAGAGTTTTTCATTCATAAGTCTGCACTGGGGCCTAAGAATTTGCATTTTTAACAAGTTTCTAGATGTTGCCGTTGCTGCTATTGAGTCACATGCTTTGAGAGCAACTGGTACAGTTATCAGTGTTGTCTTCACCTGAGTTTTGAGTTGCTGTAATTTTGAGATTGTCTTGGGCTGCACAGCATAGAGCTATAGATCTGGTACCAAGTTATTTAAGTTCATATCCTGGCTTTGATAGTTACTATTGATATGCCGTTGAACAAGTTACTTCTTCAAATTGTGTTTCGACAACCTTATTAGACAAGTGTACTACTAACTCCATTTTGCTTATTTATGAGGTACCCCTCAAAAAGTTATTGAGAGATTTGAATAAGTCATGTAAAATGCTTAGAACAGTGTCTGGTACATCTTTTGCAAGTGTTAGAAAGCTAACTAGTTCTCTTTTATGAATAACTAATAAACAGCTTGGAATGGTGAAAAGGACACTGACCTGTTAGTCAAGAGATGTGAGTTATAGTTCTGGCTTTGTCCGTTTCTGACTTTTACAGCTGTAGGTATATCACTTGATATCTCTGAGCCTTAATTTTCCCATTTCCAAAATGGTGGTTGGTGGAGGTGGTGTGGGGTAGGTTGGAAGTTAAACTCAATTCTGAGATCCTTCCTAATATTTTGGGAAATGTTACTTTTCCATGAGTATGCAATTTTAAAAAAACTTATTTTAATTATTTTCTTTAAATTATCTGGTCCTTAAAGGTTGCGAGTAAATTGTGTTGGAGTTTTTGATGTTTTAACATTTGATAACAGTCAAAATAATAATCCATTGGCATTGATGGCCCAGTACCAGGTGAGTAAGAATTAACATGGATATTTACTTGTTTTCCTTTATTAAATACAAATTTTGTTCATTTTAAAGTATTTCAGTGTTTTAAGCCTAGATTTTAATTTATTTTGGGGTAGTCTCTGTGCAGACTTTGAACATGTATCTCCCCTCCCCTTCCTCTCTTTTCTTGTCTTCCTTTCCTTTCCCCTCTTTCTTTCTTTCTCTCTCTTTTCCTTTCTTTTCTTTTGCTTCTGTCTTGCTGTGTCACCTGGGCTGGAGTGCAGTGGTGCAGTCAGCTCACTGCAGCTTTTGAACTGGACCCGAGCAATCCTCTCACCTCAGCCTCCCATGTAGCTGGAACCATAGATGTGCACTACTGTGCCTGGCTAAAATTTTTTTTATTTTTATTTTGTGCAGAGATGGAGGCTCACTATGTTGCCCAGGCTGGTATTTCTTAACCATTATGATGTATTTAGTGTAGAGCCCTTGTAGGCTGGAATAAAGGGAATTGATGACAATGTCAGAGACACTTTTTTTTTTTTCTTGTTAAGCGGAGTTTCACTCTTGTTACCCAGGCTGGAGTGCAATGGCACGATCTCGGCTCACCACATCCTCTGCCTCCCAGGTTCAAGCATTCTCCTGCCTTAGCCTCCTGAGTAGCTGGGATTACAGGCATGCGCCACCATGCTAATTCTGTATTTTTAGTATATAGATGGGATTTCTCCATGTTGGTGAGGCTGGTCTCGAACTCCCGACCTCAGGTGATCCGCCCACCTCAGCCTCCCAAAGTGCTGGGATTACAGGCACGAGCCACTGTGCCCGGCCTCATGACAATGTCAGACTCTTAACTGTTCAAAATGAAAATGTATTTATGTGATTTAGGAAACGTGTCCTAAGCATAGATAGATTAAAACAGACTCATCAAATGAATGGACTATATTAAATGACACCTTTCTTTTTCACTCCTTTAATTACACCTATTATTTTTACTTTTAGAACACTTGTCTGACTACCAGTCATAAAATTTTAGAAATGTTTTCAGAGGTTTGTTGTTGGATTGCCATTTTCTAAGTAATTTTTAAAATTTAGTCGGAACATATCACTCACTTCTTATACATTATTAGTATTTGATTATTGTCTGACTTCATTTTATTAGTGTTGATTTAGGCCTTGTGATGTTTCTTAGCTATTTTGCTGCTTCTTATTTCCTGATTTAAATGATAAAGTATTGAATAATAAGAACGTATTTCTTCAAGCATTAAGAACAGTTGCTTTAGGCCAGGTGCGGTGGCTCACACCTGTAATCCCAGCGTTTTTGGGAGGCTGAGGTGGGCAGATCACTTGAGCTCAGGAGCTCGAGACCAGCCTGGCCAACATGGTGAAACCCCGTCTCTATTAAAATACAAAAATTAGCCAGGTTTGTGGTGGCACACACCTGTAGTCCCACCTACTTGGGAGGCTAAGGCAGGAGAATCGCTTGAACCTCGGAGGCGGAGGTTGCAGTGAGCCAAGATCGTGCCACTGCACTCCCGCCTGGGTAGCACAGCGAGACTCCATCTCAGAGAAGGAATAGTTGCGTTTGCCTTGATTACTCCGCAGGTAACAAAACTAAAGTAAATAGGTTATTCAGTTTGTATTGGAATGCTTCACATTAGGATAGGCAGCTGTGATTTTAAGACAATTTTAGTTCTTTGTGTATAAGAAGTTTTTGAGTTTTTTGAACATTTATTAACTGACAAAGGTTTGCTCTAAGGCATAATTTCTTAATTACATGGAGAAACACCTTATTGCTCTTCTCTTTTCAACTTACTTTGTTTAAAGTTTTAGAAGAAGATTTTAATTCACTGATAGAATTTTAGAACAAAAAGGATAAAATGAGAAGTAGAGTCTAATCACTGTTTAGTATTTCAGTTCATGCATCAATCTCTTTTGCTGGTAAACCACAGACAGTGCAGTCCCAAAGACTTGCAGGCACTCATTGCATTCGGTTGTTTGCAGACATTTCACATCCTCCTTCCCCTCTGCTTGAGCCCATCTAACCTCAGCAGCAGCCAAGCTGTTCTGGTTGATAGCAACATCTAGTGGGCAATACAGGGAGGAAGGTGATTAGTTCTTTTTTTTTCCCCCAACAGCCGCATTGTGTTCTTCTGCCTGAGGGCATTTGCTGCCTCTTTCTTATCTGGAGATGTTGTTTCTTAGCTACTGTCATTCTTATCTTCTTATACTTAGTGCCTAACTAGTTGGCTCTGATTAATTTTTCTTTATGACCTTTATGCTTCCAAAGTGACAGATTATTGACTTTTAAAATATTAGAGATTATATACACTTGGATATACATCCAAGCAGATAATATTAAATTTTTGAAGGAAAATTACACATTTTTAGAGCAGTACCATCATCTTCTAATGTAAGTATTTAGAAACCCCATCTGCATTAAAAACAAAAACAAAACTGCACATGCTCCTCATTCTTTTCTCAATAGGGTTCCTTTTCAGGTGTGTTATGGGTTGTGTAGTTACCTTGAAAAACAAAACTTTTCATAAGAAAAAAATCTCTGAGTGCCAAACAACCAAGTCTATGTAAGCATTTAGGGCAACTTATTAATATTTGTAAGTCAGGATATGCCTTCATTCATAAAATCAGGCAACCTTCAATTAATTATCACCTCTTTATTTTTTTTCAACATTGAAGGATATATATCAGGCTTTCTTTTTTTGGGTATATATGTGTAGCTGATTTTTTAATACAGTTTATTATAGTAAGGTATAGGAAAGAATGAAAGATAGTTCCAAAGGGGGAGTGTGATTTTACAGAGTAGAGGATACATGAGGAGTGCATTGTTTCTTGTAGTATATTTTTCATAGTCTGTTTCAGACACGTGAATAGAGACTGACTTTGAGTAAAATGGACATAAGTAGAGCCATAGATAGAATCAGAAAAAGAAATCAAGAAGTCAAGAATCAGGAAGAAACTGAAAATCATTTGGGGGGCAAATCTCCTGAATTCAACAAATGGGGGGAAAACCAGATGGAGGTAAGAAGCAAAATAACAAATGGAAAATTATTTAGCTGAGAAATAAGGAAAGGAGAGTTACAGAGTTTTATGGTGTGAAACTCTCTTAATTAAGATTTTATTAACTCTTTTGTTTAAAAAAACCTCTAATTTAATCTGGACTGTGTCACACATGTACTTTATTTCTAAAAGCGGATGTTCTCACCTTGAGTCCGCTTTAGAGAGGTGGTGGGATGTACTGAAAATCAGATATTGTTATTTTTTAAAACCATCTGGTTCTTCAGCTCTCTTGGACCATTTTGGTTTTCTGTCTCATAATAGAGAATAATGGAATATTCTGGGAGGGAGGCTTAATACAGCATCAGTTCAGGGTGGAACAAACTGAAAATTCTGCTGCTCAAAGAGCTGGAAGACTGGGTGTTGATATCTGCTGCTCAAACATGTGATAAACAGCCACAGTCTTTGCTGTGCTTTGCTGGATACTTTGGATTGAATCGCCCATGGAAATTTATAGTTGGCATTTACATGCAATGATTTCTTTTGGCTGAGATTTCTATAATTTCATGAATATAACTTGGAATGTTTTACTTGATCTAAAGTGTGATTGAGAGGCGTTCTTTTTGGAGTTCATCACAGTGTCCTCCAGCGAACAGAAATGATGGCAACAGTAATAGTACTCCTTCCCATGCCAACTTCCCTCCTGCCATTCTTGTCTCCTGACTCTTCCACCAGTGAAGTTTACAAAGTTTTCTGGCGTGAATCTTTGGATCTTTTCTAATAGATTCGAAGTAGTTTCTCTACCTAATCAGTCTGTCTCCTTATCTCCTGTTCAGTGTCAGATTCACAAATGCTAGTTTTGGATAAATTTTTTAGTATGAACTTTTAAATGTTATTTTAGTAATGGAGTTTAATGTTAAAATTTACTCATTATTTGGGTAGGGTGTTGTTAAGGATAACCATATAATGCTAGAATTTCACTAATGATTGTCTTAAAGTTACAAATATTCCAACAAACCAGTGGTTCTCAATCCTGGCTGCATATCACGATCATTTGTGGAAGCTTAGAAAAATACCAATACCTAGATTTTGATCCCAGACTGATTATACCAAAATTGAGATGAGGGGATGGCTACTAGATGATTTTGGTTTTGTTTTTAAGCTCCCCAAGTGATGATAATGTACAGCTAGGCTTGAAAATTCCTTATAATAAACTAACGCTCAGTAAATGAACATGTGTCTAATAATTTAGATGAGTTCTCAGATTTTAAAGATCTGCAAATGTCTGTTGTAGAAATTGCTTCAGGTGGTTTCATGTTAATTCTGAAGTACTCCATTCTGTAAGGCATGTAGTTGTTGATAGCTTCCTACCAATCAGGGCCACTTGGGATGACCATACTGTTTCCTGGAGTTATAGGTGATAAAGGACTTAATTCAGACAGCTGTCTTTTGAAAATCCTTTTAGAAGGAAAGCCTCATAATGGTAAATCTTGAGTGGGAGAGGTTTTAGGAAAGCAGCTGGTGGTTCCAGAGCTTAAAGATCTGTTATAGTGTGAGTAAAAATAGTCTATTTGGAAACAAAGATAGATGGGATGTCATTCATTGAGGTTTGTAGCATTTTTGATGTTCTAGAGAATTTGCTCTAAAATCTGGTTAATGCTAATGTTTGTAACAGGATAACTTTTCTTCAGATAATCCTTCACATTCACACTATATTCTGGGGGTAACAGAAAATGAGAAAAGTGTGTGTCTTAAGTTACAGTGGTCGTAGCAAATCAAATGTATAGTAACCTTAAATTTGTTGTAATAGAGAAGAATATTAGCTCTATTTAAATAAAAAAAAGTTAGAAAAACTTTTAAAAATGGCAATTTGTAGTTGGCATGGGAATTGCTTAAAGTCTCTTAAAGCGTGGACCTAGAACTACCTTCATCAGAATTACCTGGGTGCTTTAGAAATGTTGAGCCGTTTTCTGGACCCATCTAGTGAGAATCTGGTGGAGAGGCTCAGAAGTCATCTTTTTAATAAGCTCCAGGTTATTCTGAGGAGCACCGCTGTTTGAGAACCCTGCCTGCAGCTTATTTATAATGATGCTTTTTCCATTTAGGCAGTGGTGTCAGTGTATGAAATGAGTACCTATGAAATGAAAATTAAAAGTTATGTTTATTCTTTCATGTCAGCAAGCAGATCTGATATCATTAGGAAAAGTTGTGTTGGCTTTGGCTTGCAACTCTTTGGCAGGAATTCAGCGAGAGAATTTACAGAAAGCCATGGAACTGGTGACAATCAACTATTCCTCTGACCTGAAGAATCTGATTTTGTAAGTTTTAATATATGATAAATTGTATAGAATGATTATTTGCGATAAGACAGAGCTTTTTTTGTTTTAAGTGATTGTTTTGGTTCCCACTATTTAAAATCAAACAAAACAGAAACTTTATTTCTTTATTTTTATTGCAAAATAAATATTTCTTAGATAAATTGATAAACCAGTGTGTTTAAATTAGTTACTGATGTTTTAAACATTTGGTCAAAGGGTACCCAGTAGAAGTTTGTTGGTATCCACTAGCTGCATGTGACCTTTTACATTGATATTAATTGAAATTTAAAGTTTACTTCTTCAGTTACACTAGTCACATTTCAAGAGCTCAGCAGCCACATGTAATTACTGGCTAACGTAATTGGGCAGCACAGACATAGAATATTTCCCTCATCTTGGGAGTTCTATTGGATAGTGCTGCTCTAGAGAGTGTGAAAGCCATCATGAATAAGCCTCAGGTGCAATCCAGTCATGTACCCTGGCCAAAACACCCATTCCGGAAAGCATTTGTGTGGAGACCCCCCAGGCTTATGCTCCAGTGTCTTAAGATTCCAGAGAATCCTTGAGTATGGAGTTGAGATTAATTTGGCTTAAGAGAAACCTGTTGTGGACTACTGTCACCACAGAAGGACTTCTCCCTGAGATATAGCTACTACTGAGAGATCCCAGAGGGTGGGCAACCACAACCTTGATTACAGTTATGAGCTGTGCTAGAGAAGAGGTGCTAATCAACAGTCTCTTTTAGCTTACAGCTGCCCCTTCTGATCTTTCTGTGTAGCCCTGGATGATCCAGTTTCTTTTTGGACCAGCCCTGGGGTATGAATTGGGGGATGGAGGGTGGGATTGCCCACCTGTTGTTTGTTACACTGGCATAAATGTCCTGCTTGTGACAGCACTAGAAGCCAGTGGTTGTCTGGATTGTATTCATAATCAAATTCAAATACGATGATTTATCTTTTCAATAAAAATACTTGTTTTATTTATGATCACAACAGTGATTCCTAGCCTTAGTTTGCAAATACCTAGGATGCCTCAAATAATTTCAGGTTATAATCTCTAAATTTTCCTTTTTAAAGAAGTGGGGATAGAGGACATAAAAATAATCAATTAGCCATATGTTAATAATTATTGAAACTGGGTGATGATACATGGAGATTCATTACATTACTCTTCTAGTATTATAAATGTTTGAAATTTTCTTTAATGAAAAAATGGATAAACAAAAAAGCCATACTTTAATAATAACCGCAAACTAAAATTGATGGAGTAATTAAACCATGTATCAGGCCCTTTCAAACTGCTTGATGGGAATTAATTTTTTTAATTCTCCCAATAACCCTATAAATTAGGTACCATTATTAGTCCCATTTTAGAGACACAAAACTGAGCCACAGAGATCAAATAACTTGCCAAAGTCACATAGCCTGTAGTAACATTAAATATGATTAGCAGGGTACAAATAGGTCCATAATTACAGATGAATTGCTAAGATGTAGTTTATTCACATGGGTGTAACTATTCATTTATCCAAAAAAAGAATGACTAGTATATGCCGAATACAGGATACTTTGAATGAGGTGAACAAAATTCCCATCTCCTGGAGCTTACACCCTAATGGGAATAAAGAGTAAATAAACATAAAAACCAGTGAGATATTTTCAGGTAGTGATAAGACCTATGAAGAAAATAAGAGAATTATAAGCAGAAGAGTGAAGGAGTAGGAGGCTGCTTTCATGAGAAAGGGCAAGAATGGCTTACCTATAGAATAAGCGGCAATAGATGATTGAGAATCTTTGTGTTCTAACAGGTAGCCCTTGAAATATGTAGTATTTTCTGCCACTGTTCTAATGATAGAAGAAATTTAACTGGTTACTCCTGCTGTGTGTTACTGCATTTCTCAGAAATGAGTGTGTCATGATACCTTGTAAATTAAGTTTTAGAGCAGAGGACAGCTTCTTAAAAAGTTAGGCTCATTCAATTTAGCAAAATTGAAAACCCAGTTTTAGTTTTGAAAATTAATCTTTGAAGAGCAACAGGAAAAGCTCCACACCCCTCACCCACCCCCTTTTGGTCCTCTCAAAAAAGTTTCTAAAAATCTTTTCTTTTTTGGCTGGGTGCGGTGGCTCATGCCTGTAGTCCCAGTGCTTTGGGAGGCCAAGGCAGGCAGATCATGAGGTCAAGAGATCGAGACCATCCTGGCCAACATGGTGAAACCCCGTCTCCACTAAAAATACAAAATTAGCTGGGCTTGGTGGCGCATGCCTGTGGTCCCAGCTACTCGGGAGGCTGAGGCAGGAGAATCGCTTAAACTTGGGAGGCGGATGTAGCAGTGAGCCGAGATCACGCTGCTGCATTCCAGCCTGGCAATAGAACAAGACTCTGTCACACACACACTCTCTCTCACACACAAAACTTTTCTTTTTCTTAATTTATTTTTGTTTTCTGTTTGTTTCCCTTTTTTTTGAGATGGAGTTTCGCTTTATTGCCCAGGCTGGAGTGCGTTGGTGCCATCTCGGCTCACTGCAACCTCTGCCTCCTGGGTTCAACTGATTCTCCTGCCTCAGCCTCCTGAGTAGCTGGGACTACAGGCGCCTGCCACTATGCCCAGCTAATTTTGTATTTTTAGTAGAGACAGGGTTTCGCTGTGTTGGCCAGGCTGGTCTTAAACTCCTGACCTCAAGTGATCTACCTGCCTTGGCCTCCCAAAGTGCTGGGATTACAAGTGTGAACCACTGCACCTGACCTGTAACACTCTTTTCATCTTGCACTTTTGTAAATAGTAATGGGTAAGTGAAACCCTACTTCACTTTTCTTTCTCATTTCCATAGTAGTGAAAATGTAGAGAAGAGACACGTTTACTGTTTCTCCATTGGCTCTTACAATTTTCCAGAGGAATGAAATGTAATATTTAAGCTTTAAGAATGAGCTTGACTTGCATGAATTAAAATGTTTTCAAAATTTTGTGTGCTAAGATGATGGCCGCTGAAACAGTTATGTGTTTGTGGGTTATCTTGTTTTTTAAATTGCGTGTTGGACATTCAAGTAATTCCTCTTTTATCTTGGGTAGGTATTTGTTGACTGACCAAAACAGGATGCGAAGTGTAAATGACATCATGCCCATGATTGGTGCTCGATTTTATACTCAATTGGATGCTGCTCAAATGAGAAATGATGTCATAGAGGAAGACCTTGCAAAGGTAAAGAGTATAACTTTTTTTTTTTTTTTTTTTTTTTGAGACAGAGTCTTGCTTTGTCACCCAGGCTGGAGTGCAGTGGTGCTATTTCGGCTCACTGCAACCTCACATCCCGGGTTCAAGTGATTCTCCTGCCTCAGCCTCCCAAGTAGCTGGGATTACAGGTGCACACCACCACACCCAGCTAATTTTTGTATTTTTTGTAGAGGCAGGGTTTCACCATGTTAACAAGGCTGGTCTCCAGCTCCTGAGCTCAAGTGATCCGCCCGCCTCAGCCTCCCAAAGTGCTGGGATTACAGGTGTGAGCCACCGCGCCTGGCCAGTAAAGAGTGTAATTAAAAGAATGTACACACAACTTGCATCTGTGTATATAAATATACACAAAATAATCTTTGTACTAAATATAATGCCTTATTTGCTAAGATTGCAGATATTTTTGTTGGCACTGAATGTGTAGTATTTTAATTTCTTATGTCCTCTGGACACTGTTCTTTTCATTCATGGCTTAGCTACAGTCATGTGACAAAAATCTTGGTTTTTCATGTAAGTTACTTTTCCAATTCCTATGGACAGTACCATAATCTTCTTGAGTACCATTATGAAATGCAATGGACATATTGTGTTTGTTTAAAAGTATAACCAAAAGGTGGGGGTGTTAGGATTTATCGTTTAAAGGTAATATTGGTACAGGTTACCAGTTTTTGTAAATTTTGGCTTTTATGTTCAGTTATCTGGAACATTAACATTTTTCTCTTTTTAAAATGTTTTATAGGAGGTTCAAAATGGAAGACTGTTTAGGCTCCTAGCAAAATTGGGAACAATCAATGAGAGGCCGGAGTAAGGATTTACAGTATTTTACAATATATTTTTAATCGAGAGCACTATTTTGCATAATAAGAATAAGTATGCCTGGTTTTATTTGGGAAGAGAGAAAAATTCTTACGTGAAGTGACCTTAAGATTGTGTTAGCTGTTAAGGTGCTATTTTTACAACAGCCTAGGTGTGGCTGTCCTTATGAATTTTACACACATGTATACTTACAGAAAATATGCTGCGTTAGAAATCTCTTGTGGTTTGCACGTGAGGGCACATTTTATGACTAATACTACCTCTACCCTATCTTCTTTTTGAGGAGGAAGTTTCATATCAGTTTACCCTGGTCAGTTTAAGTACTTGAGAAATCTCTAATTTTTGCATGCCTCTCACCTTCTATTAAAGTACACCGTTTTTTTTTTTTTGTTTTTTTGTTTTGTTTTGTTTTTTTGAGACAGAATCTCCCTCTGTCACCAGGCTGGAGTGCAATGGCACAATCTCGGCTGACTGCAACCTCCACCTCCCGGGTTCAAGCGATTCTCCTGCCTCAGCCTCCTGAGTAGCTGGGACTACAGGTGCACACCACCATACCCAGCTAAGTTTTGTATTTTTAGTAGAGGTGGGGTTTCACCATGTTGGCCAGGATGGTCTCGAACTCCTGACCTCGGGTGATCCACCCACCTTGGCCTCCCAAAGTGCTGGGATTACAGGCGTGAGTCCCACGCTTGGCCTAAAGTACACTTTTTTTAGCCATCATATCAGTGGCATTGGAAAGGCATTACCTTTTACACTATTTGTCACTTAGTTCCACCTCATTTGTAAGTTAATGTTAACCATATATACACAAGCAGAGCTGATGTTTGTACTACATAACTGTCAAAGACAGGTAGAATAGAATTTGCAATTATGACTGTAGTGTGAGTTACATTTCAGGAATGTTTGATTTGTTAATAGAGATAGGTGAGAGATAAATACTACTACTTGAGGGATTTTTTTTTAAACCATGAAATTGAAGTCCACTTGCTTTTCTTCAAAGTCAAAAGACTCATTTAATGTTTTCCCTAGTAATTTTTCTAAATGAAGAGAACATAATATATGTTAAACCATTTTTAATAAACTCTTTTGGCTGTTTCTTCTAGCATTTATCTCTTTACTTTAAAGTGTATGTTTATAGTCCTATTCTTGATTTTCCCCCCATCTATAATTCAGGTAATGACTCATCCTCTTCCCTACACACGTGCACATGTGTGCACACACACACACACATGCACACATGAGTTGAATTCTGTATTTAGTGTTACAAAACACCTTTCCATATGGTCAAAAATAGGTAATGTATCAGTTCCTTTTTTTCCCTCCCACCTAGAGAATTGGCTCTAGATCCTCCACCTTTCCTGTTCCTAAATGGGCTGGTTACACTTTAAGCCTGCACATGCTTACACTTTAGAACTGGAACTTCCCTTCACTATTATCTGGGAATTCTCATTATCTCTCTGTGTTGGATACGCTGGTTTCTTGCTTTTTTTCTTTGTTTATTTATTTATTTTTTTTGGACTTAGTGGAGCATGTCCTTGTAGCTTCCTGAAAAAGGTGAGTTTAGTCTTGCAAATTTGAAAATGGCATTATTCTACTTTCACACATTATTGATACTGTGAATGTATATAAAATTCTAGATTGTCCTCATGAATTGTTACCTTTTTTTTTTTTTTTTTTTTTTTTTTGAGAGGGAATCTCTCTGTATACCCCAGGCTGGAGTGCAATGGGGCGATCTCGGCTCTCTGCAACCTCCGCCTCCCTGCAACTTCCGCCTCCCAGGTTCAAGCGATTCTCCTGCCTCAGCTTCCTGTGTAGCTGGGATTACAGGCACACACCACCATGCCCAGCTAATTTTTGAATTTTTGGTAGAGATGGGGTTTCACCGTGTTGTCCAGGCTGGTCTCGAACTTCTGACCTCAGGTGATCCACCTGCCTCTGCCTCCCAAAGTGCTAGGATTACAGGCATGAGCCACCGCGCCCAGCCAGGAAATTATTTTTATTAATTAAATTTTTAAAATAGATTGTCTATGAATAAAGTAAAAAGTAGGAAAAGTTTGCAGTGAAAACTGTAGAAGTCTCTCTTTCATTCCTGACATCCCCAATATCTATTCCCAGTTGCCCCCATCCGTCTATATTTTTAGTTTCTTCTGTATTATTCCAGAGTTACAAATACAACTATATATTCTTATCCCCTCCCTCTTTAAATATATAAAAATTATAAACCATATACAGTATATTTTGTCATAACTGTGTATTTTAGAAATCTTTATATATGTTTAGTATATGCCAAGCACTATTCAAAATAGTTTACAAATATGCCCTAACTTATTCCTCATAACAACCCTGTGATGGAGTTACCATTGCTATTCCTATTTAACAGAGTAACTGCAGCATAGAGAGGTTAAACAGCTTGAACAAAGGTTGCATAATTAATAAGTATACGATCCAGGACTCTAGTCTAGACAGTATGGTTCCAGAGTGTGTGCTCCTATCCACTGTGCTGTGTGTCTCCTCACACTTTATGGCCTGGTAGTAGTATATCCTGTGGATATATTATAGTATATTTCCCCAGTTCCTTATGGATGGGCATTTGGGCTGTTTTCAGCCCTTTGCTAGGGTGGGCGATACTGTAGGGACTAACTTGTGCATAGTTAATCTTATATATATGTAAATATAGGCCAATTGTGATTGCTAGGTCAGTCGGTACATCACAATAATTTCATAGCTATTGGAGAATAGTTTACCTGTGTGTAATTCATGAGACTGCCTCACCAAAATACTTTTTTCAAACTCTTAGATTGTAGTCAACCTTGTAGGTGAGAAATTGAATTTAAATGCAGTTTTATGTTCTATTTACTCTTAACGAGCATGTTTGAGTATCTCTTTTGTGCTATTGATCCATTCTTATGTCCTGTTCAATTCGTATCCTTTGCCCATCTTTATTTTCAGTTGGATTGCTTGTCTTTCTTATTGATATATAAGAGCTAAAGAGATTCACTCTTTTTGTGATTTTTTGTTTTTTTTTGACTGCTCATTTCCCACCCTTGGAGACATCTGTGTATGTACTGTAATTGACCAAATTTATTTATTTATTTATTTATTTATTTATTTATTTATTTATTTATTGAGACGGAGTCTCGCTCTGTCGCCCAGGCTGGAGTGCAGTGGCCCAGTCTCAGCTCACTGCAAGCTCCGCCTCCTGGGTTTACGCCATTCTCCTGCCTCAGCCTCCGAGTAGCTGGGACTACAGATGCCCGCCACTACGCCTGGCTAATTTTTTGTATTTTTAGTAGAGACGGGGTTTCACTGCGTTAGCCAGGATGGTCTTGATCTCCTGACCTGGTGATCCACCCGCCTCGGACTCTGAAAGTGCTGGGATTACAGGCGTGAGCCACCGCGCCCGGCCTCCAAATTTATTTTATGCTTCTGGATTTTGAATCATAGTTAGAAAGCTTCTTTCTACTCGAAGATTACGAGGGAACTATTTCATGGTTTTTTCCAGAACATTTGTGGTTTCATTTCTTCATATTAAAAATGTTTTACGTAGTTAGAAATTGTATCGGGCGTAAGGTGTAAGTCCATCTCCCCTTGTCCCCAAGACTACATAGTAGTCCAAAAGCTATTTATTGAATAGTTGAACAATCTAGCTTTTCCCCACTGGTTTGAAGCCACACCTCTTCCATACTATTTTAATTCAGTCATGAAATTGAATTTTGAAATCTAGCAGTATTGTTTCCCATTTCCATTTATTGGGCACCACTTTGTTATTTTCCTAATACTATTTAATTTTCTGTACAGATTCTAGAATCAGCTGCTTTAGTTAAAAAAAAAAAAAAACCAATAAACCTGATGGTTTCTTAATAGGGAAGATAGCCTGTTTATCATGTTTAAACTCTGGGAACATTTGTGGTTTTAGATGTTGAGTCATCTTATCCAAGATCATGGTATGTCATTCTATTTGTTGACGTCTACTTTTGTATTCTTCAGTAGTATTTAAGTTGTTTTTTATATAGTTATAGCATACTGAGTGTGTGTTCTTAGGTATTTCATCTTGTTGCTATTATAAACGGGAAAATTTCCCCCATTGTGTCTTCTTGTTATTTGTGTATATGAGAATTCTTGATTTCTTTAAATTTTATGCTCTGGTACCTTCTGTTTGGGTCGTTTTCAGTAAATTCTCTTCGAGTTTCCCAGGTGTTTAATTACATCATCTGCAAATAATGATAGCTTCCTTCCCAGTTTCTGTACTTCTAATTTCTCTTGAGTGATTGTGTTAGTGGGTACTTTCAGTACATAGGTAAATAATAGTGATGATAGTTCAGAATTTGAAGCATTGTTCCTTTTAACTTCCAGGCAGATTCAAAGCCATTTTCTTTATAAATCTTTTCTTTCCTCCAAGCTTTTGGTGTGGTGTTTTCTTTTTTTGTTTTTTTTTTGTGACTGATGTTCAGAAATTCACAGTGATGTTCCTTGGTGTGGGTTTTGAGTCATAATGATGGATTAACAGGTGTGAACCCATTTAATCTTGGAAACTTAACGTCCTTCAGTCCTGGGACATGGTCTTCATTGTTTCTTTAATAACTTCTTTTCCTGAAATTCTCATCACTCAGATGTTAGACCTTTGCAATTGATTTTCAAATATTCTCTTCTATTTTATATCTCTAATTTTTTTTTGTCCTACTTTCTAGGCAGTTATCTCAATTATATTAAAGGGTTTTTTTCTAATTCTTTGAATTTTTAAATTTCTGCTATCATATTTTTATTTTCCAAGAACAATTCTGTTTTCTGAATATTTGTCTTGTACCATCTAATTCTTATTTCTCTGAGGCCGTCAATTAATAGATTTTTACTGGTGGTTGGTGTTTGTCTTAGTGTTAAGTTTTGTTCCGTTTTCCCTGCAGTATCTCATAGGAATCAAGAGTTTGCTTTATTTTGTTTTGTTTTGTTTCCTCCTCAAAAGATTTCTGATAATTAGCTGCCCATTCGTATTAAAAATAAGGTCCTAAAAAGCCAATGGGAAGCCTGTGAGAGGGCAGGGATTATAGAATGTTGAACCTTTCTGTATGATAAAGCAGTGTGATGTTGTTATACATGATTTTTGTTTGTGTTTGGTAGACTCTCAAGTATTGTCATTTGTCTTGGACAGGTCAGCATCCACTGAAAAGAATCTTCCAACCTCTACTGTCTGTGGTATAAGCCTGACAAGCCAGGTTTGGGAACCACACAGAGGGAAAGCATTTGTTCAATAGGGTGTCATCCAGCACTCCTCAGCTCTTCACCTTCTGGTTTGCTTGGCATCCCTGAGGCTCGAGCTTCTCTCATTCACCCTTTTTAGAAAGTAAAACCTCCAGATTTTTGCCAGACAGAGGTGGGGGTGGGGTTAAGAGATGGGTTATCTGTTTGCTGTTTATAGAACCTTCTCTCAATCCTCCTATTTTCATCCTCAGTCCAAACTTGCACTTTTAGTAGTCCTTTGTGGCTTCAGTTTCTGAGCCATGCCAGTGTGGGTGGCTTGCTTCCTGTGGGCACCCTCTTCCCACATCCCCTGTAGAATTAGGGTTCAGTTTTGTCAGGTCTACTAAGTCATCCCACTTACCTATCTGCCTCTGCCTTCCAGATGTTCATGATTATCTCTTCTTCACTGTTGTTGCTTTTTCTGATCCCTTTGTCCTTGTGTTTATTCCCGTTTTTTAGACATTTACTGTCAATTTGATGGGCTGTTGAAAGGTAGCAGAGGTAAATGGGTATTTAATCTTATTTTAATTGGAAGTCCTTGGAGTGACCTTTGCAAAACATATATATATGATTGTGCTAAAACTGTATGGTGAGCTTCTCCTCTGGTTCTTAGAATAAAGACCCAGTTTTAAAACATGACCTAAGCTGTGTAGTCTGATCCCTACCTACTTCTCATCCTGGTCTCGAATCTGCCTTTTACTTAATTTTCTGTCCTCATCCCCCATTCTTTGTTCTTGTCTTCACTCTGTCGCTTTCCTTGCCCTCACTCTATCTTCTTCTTTTTGTCTCTTTTCTCCCCCAACCCATTCAGACACATGACCTTTGTTAAGTTTCTTCAGTACTCCATGCAAATACCGATCTCTGACGAAGGAGCATCCCTCTTCTGGGAAGGGCAGCCACTACTTCCTCTGGAAAACCTTCCTTGCCCTGCTAGAAGAACTCATGTTTCTGTTTTTATGTCATACCCCTTTTAGCAGCATTATGTAAATACGCAGTTACAGCTTTCTTTGATTATTTGAGTAACGTCTGTTTCCTACTAGACTGTAAATTCCTAAGGTCACTGAAAACTCACAGTGGTCATCTGCTTCTTTACAGCTTGCTTTCACATGGAATGGTAGGAAACTGATATTTACTTCCTTTTTGTTTGCTAAACATTTTTCTGTTTTATACATATTGGTGAAGTAGAAGGTGTATCTGACCTCTCTCTATTTTGTAACCTACAGAGTGGGAGGAAGAAAAGAAGATTTAAGACATTTTTATCTTTTCCATTTTATCTAATAGTGGGGGCTGAAATAAAGAGGTCATATAAAATAGGAATGCGTAAGGGATCATTTCCCCCTGACAGTTGCTGACTGAAAACTGGAATTCATATACTTACTAGTTCAGTCAAACTGTTTTTTAAAAACACTGTACCAGACTCCCTCCCAATTTTTTACTTATTGGGAAAAAAATAAAATTAAACTAGTTTTGAGTCTAAAAAATAGACATAGGGCCACAGAGCATACAGCATGAGTTACTGAGGTAAAATGTTAATTTCCCCCAGGTTTCAGAAGGATCCAACTTGGTCAGAGACTGGAGACCGTTATCTGTTGAAACTCTTTAGGGATCATCTTTTTCATCAGGTGACAGAAGCAGGTGCTCCCTGGATTGACCTCAGTCATATCATTTCTTGTCTTAACAAGGTAATTTGTATTTAGATTTTTAAGATCATAATTCTGCCTATAATGTGTATAGAGTTGTATCTTCTACAAATACTAGGAGACATAAGAAATTAGGATGTACTCTTACAGTAGCCTGTAAGACATTTTATTAATAACACTTTTTACAATGGGAGGATTTTTTAAATATTGCATGAATAATTCTTTTGGGCGATGGAAGACAGAGTCTTGCTCTGTTGCTCAGGCTGGAGTGCAGTGGCATGATCTTAGCTCACTGCAACCTCTGCCTCCTGGGTTCAAGCGATTCTCCTGCCTGAGCCTCTCAAGTAGCTGGAATTACAGGCACCCATCACCACGCGCAGCTAATCTTTGTATTTTTAGTAGAGACAAGGTTTCACTATGTTGGCTACGCTGGTCACGAACTCCTGACTTCAAGTGATCTGCCTGCCTCAGCCTCCCAAAGTGGTAGGATTACAGGTGTGAGCCACTGCGCCTGGCCTTCATGAATCATTTTAGAATGTTTTATTGTGGATCTTTTTATTATGATAAAGTATTATAAAATGACTGCTTCCCTCCTTTATGCAATGTTTTGTTTACATGTGGTTTTGTTATGCCACATAAAACAATGAGTGGTAAAAACCAAAAAAATAAATTTATGTTTATTTTTTAAAAATTGAACCCCTTCTGAATCATTGTGAGTTACGTTGGGTGTTATCAAATTATTTATTATTAACTATGGGTATTATAATCAAGTAGTAAATAATAAAAGCGCAATACCAGTGACATTAGTTACTAGCAGGTTCAGCTGTTATAAATGGTGAATTTGATGATTAGATGAATTAAGTAGATTAAAAAAATAGATCATAAATTTATTTGAGAGGTGAGGTGAGCTTTTTTTTTTTTTTTTTTTGAGATAGGGTTTTGCTCTGTCACCCAGACTATAGTGCAGTGGCACTTATGGCTTACTGCACCCTTGACTCCCCAGGGCTGCAGTGATCCTCCCTCCTGCCTCAGTCTCCTGAATAGCTGGGACCACAGGCACATGCCACCACACCCAGCTAATTTTTGTCCTTTTGGTAGATACGGATTTCACCATGTAGACTGGTCCCAAACTCCTGAGATAAGCAATCCACCCACCCCCAAAATGCTGGGGTAATAGCCATGAGCCACCATGCCCAGCAGCATTATGTTTTAGAAAAGGTTGGGAAAGACAAAAATTACAGAGAAAAGAAAGAAGACATTTTCCTTATGAATTACTTGGCATTATGAAGTTTAGAACTGGTCTCCAAGAGTAAATGTTGTCTCTGTATAGATTTATGTATAAACCAGGAGCTGGCAAGCCGTGGCCTGCAGGCCAAATCCATTCTATGGGCCTACTTTTTTATAGCCTGAGAGCCTCGAATAGTTTTACATTTTTAAAGAGTTGTAAAATAAACAATAAGCCAAACCTAAAACATTTACTGTCTGACCCTTCATAAAAACATTTACTCACTCTTGTCTAAACTTTCCTAAATTATAAGTACTAGAGGAAAAAACATCTACTGTAGCACATGATTTAGAACTATTAATGTACAGTGTGGTAACCCTTCAGGGAAAATGTTATGGTTTGTTTTTAAGCACTACTTTGCCTTCTTTTAACTTCCTTAAAACTCTATAGGGAGTATTGTCAATAACCTACATTAAGACTGCACAAAACTGGCCAGGCGCGGTGGCCCATGCCTGTAATCCCAGCACTTTGGGAGGGTGAGGCACACGGATTGCCTGAGGTCGGGAGTTGGAGACCAGCCTGGCCAACGTGAAGAAACCCCATGTCTACTAAAAATACAAAATTAGCTGGGCATTGGTGGTGCACGCCTGTAATCCCAGCTACTTGGGAGGCTGAGGCAGGAGAATCGCTTGAATCCAGGAGGCAGAGGTTGCAGTGAGCCAAGATTGCACCATTGCACTCCAGCCTGGGCATTAAGACTGCACAAAACTATATGTATCATTGAACTAATTCAGTATGAGTTATATATTTATTTTCCCTTTATTTCTCTTAGGGGAAAAACCTTTTCTTGAGAGCAGTATGTAGAAAATAATTCTGTCAGATTTTAGAACATAGTATCAGAGCACCAGTAATTAAAAATACATAGAACCAGAACAAACACTGACAAGTAGATAATATGGAATAAGCCATGGACAGTTGCCTTAAGCAAAGATCATATAATGAAGGATAATATTCATTAAATTCATCAAAGACCATTCAATAATGAAATTATCAATAATGAAATTAGGATAATTGAAAATTTGAAGAAAATTATATTTCACATCATGAACTAGCTAGTAGTAAATAATACCCCAAATCTGAAGTCTGACAATATTCTAAGTTTGAAAAGAGTGTGATAAATTGGAAGGATGGCCAGATTGATTATACAAAATTAAGATTTTATATAAGCTTATTTTGGTAGAAGTAATGACAGAAATTATCTGGTAAATGATTTGGATGTTTGAGCCTTCAGTGAGTTGTAAACATATTTTAATTTTGTATCAATTAATGAAATAAAAAAGTACATTGAAAATAACAAAGTGAAAACCATAACAAGACCAGTGGACAGACAAAGGGTCAGTATTTATGCTTTATAAAGACCTCACTGGAATATTACTGTCAAATTCCATTAGGGTCGTGGGTAAAGATCATGTACTAGCATTTACACACAAGCAGAAATACCAAAGTAAATGTATGAAAAAAACTTTGATAATAGTAGTTAAAATCTAAATTTAAATAGCAAGGTGCTCATTTGCTGTGGGGTTGCTGGAAAAGTATTAAAAACTTATAAATTCATGGTGTCTGATATGCTTTGGAAAACAATTTGGTTCTATGTACTAAGCTATAAACCACTTCTACTTTATTTTTTTGTGTTTTAAAAAAAATTTTTAAAGACCAATTTCTTAATACTTTACATTTTTTTATTAATATTTATACTTCTAAGTATTTTTCCTAAGGAAAAAAATACTTACTACAGAAGAAAAAAATTAAGTAGATGAGTATGTTCTTTGCATTGTAATTCATGATGCCAAAAATGGAAGATACTGGGAGAAAAATTATTGAGCATCAACTGGGTAGACTATAATGCAAGCGAACATTAAGCTCCGCGAAGGGATAGTTAGAAACATAGGGCAGTGTTTGTGTGAACATGTCTGAGTCGAAAATTATGCGCATACTAGTGAATGATGTAAAGTACTTATGAATATCTGAAAGGGAATGTGACCAAAAAATTTAGATATTTTACTTATGTTTGCTGCAAATGTAGATAAATTCTTTTCTGCATGTTATGAATTCATATCGTGTGTATATATTGTTTCAGCTAGATGCTGGTGTGCCAGAAAAAATAAGCCTGATTTCCAGAGATGAGAAGAGTGTACTCGTGGTGACCTACAGTGACTTAAAGCGCTGCTTTGAAAATACTTTTCAAGAACTGATTGCAGCTGCGAATGGTCAGTTGTAGTATTTGCTAAAAAAGCACGCAGGACATGGCTAAGGAACTTAACCAATAGCAAATTGCACTACAGCTGAACTTTTCATCATCTCATTCACATTTGGGAAACGAACAGGAGATGAGCAAAGCTGCTTGCACTTCAGTCAGGTACACTGTTACTTGAAAGGAAGAATGTTTCACTTACCCAAGAGCTATGGCTGCCATTGGAGGCTATATCTGTGAAGAATTTATTTTAGATTTAGGAGCACCATCAGGTGAATGATGTTCCTGCTTTTGTTTTTTCCACTTGTATATGCACTAATTTTAATTTTTTAAAGACTTTTTCTGATCTTTGAAATTTTGCCACATTGTATACTTATTAAGGGAAACTGTTTGCAAGGACATTTTGGGGAAGCAATGCTGGGCAGCGTTTTTGCCATTGAGGGTTGCAGAATTTGCTCTTTTTGGGACGGGTTGCCCTGAATAACATTATGGACCAGGTAAATAATTTCATAGAAGTTCAGTATAGTACGTAATTCTCGTAAGAGTATTGTATGCAAGCTCTCTGTATGCCACCCACTGTTAGTTCAAATTGAGATTTTTGTTTTGTTTTGTTCGTTAAGAACAAACCAAGAAAATACCAGTGAATTGTTGGATATGAATTCCCCGTTAGTTGATTTAAATCCTTTCTGAATAAAGATCAGATAAACAGTAACTGAAGGAGCATGTATAGCTCTTTCCTTCAAATTCAACTAGAGCCTTTTTAAAAAGACATTTGCCTGCTAGTCAGATACATTTACATTTATGCAAATTTTTTAAATAGGAGAAAATTAAGAAAAATGTTAAAGGCCTAAAGTTCAGGAGTATATTACTTTAGGTTCTTTCCGGTTTGCTTTTTTTTTTTTCTTTTGTATGAAGTTCTGCTCTTTGAACCACAGCTTTATTATGGTCCTTTACACTGGAGACAGACACAGAGACACTGTTCAGAAGATGAACTAAACTCAGCAGTGGTCTGGTATCAAGAGCTTTCTGATGTTTTACGGCCTGAATTTGGAGGGATAACGATCTGCTGTGCCTTTGCAGTCACTGCTTAGCCCAAAGTAATAGTACTTTTGATAATAACTCACTCTGTGCGATATTCCTGAATAAGTCCATCTCAACAGTTTGGAATTTTCCTCCTCTTAACTTTCTTAATATTTGGACATGCAGTTGTCGCCAAACTTGGGTATTCATGGAATTTCTAGTAAATGAAATACCTATACTTTGATACTGAAGACTGCCAAATACATAGGAATTTTCTTTCTTAAAATCAGTAATGAAGACTCTATCTCCTTTCCCAGCACTGAATGTTTTACTAGCACTGGGTGCTCACCATGCAACGATGAAGAAAATGTGGAAACTCAAAAGGTCAGGACAGACTCACAAGCACTTGCAACTGATGTTACTGTCTTCAATTTTAATAATTACACATATTTGTATATTTCAGAGAAGTTTTTAGTATTTCTCTGTCCACTTTTTATAAGCTTTAAAATGATTTTCTCTGCCTTGAGATTTGCATCAAGAAAAAGCACCTCTCTTCATCTGAAAGCTTTGAAGACTAGAGACACGCTTTACACGTTTTAACAAGTATATTGAGTCCACGTTTGGTAGCATCAGTTGTTGAGTTAAAAGAAAATTACTGCATTTGATCTGGATGGATTTTAAAAGAACATAATGTTCAATATTAAAAGGATAATTAACATTTGCCACCGTAATGTTCTTTTTTATGTAAAAAGAACAAGAACTTGGAGACATTAACATGCAAAAGTCTTTTATCATTAGCTCATGTATTTGAGGAAGAGCAGCTGTCTTTTTATATGTTTTTTGACAAATCATATTGTAATTCTTTTGTACAAAAAAGAACTACTTGTATTCTAGAAGAAATATGAAATGCTTAATTTATAAGCGGGCTGGAGATTTTTTCCAATATTGTTTTCTTTGAAAATGAAAGGGGATCATCTATTTAGTTTTGGGGTCTGGGAACTTTTTGAAAATTTAATTTGTGGACCAATGTTTTGTGAAAGCTGAAGAGGGCAGGGGTTAAAATAGGGCTTGAATTTCTCATTCTGTATAGACCAGCAAACTTCCCTCTGCAAGGCAAGTTTACATCACAAATCCAAGAATGTTTGCATCCTAAACGCTAGTTTGCTTCAGCCCCTAGTTAACCTCAGGACTTGGTTTGCATATAAAAGGTAGACAGCTGATATGTTTTCATGAATAAATATTGTCAGCCAGAAAAGGTTGGTGTCAGGTAATGCATATTTTTTTAAGCTTTGTTTTATATTTATTTTTCATTTAGTTTTTATTGGGAATGGTTTTCAAAGAACTCACAGTTCTGCCTAGGTGTTTTTGGGGGAGCCCTGTTTTCCATAGTGTAATTCCATTTAAGAGGTTGTCTAAAAGTCTTTTTAATTCATAGAAAGATTTTAATATCCGAGAGTAGTCAAATTAAGGATATAAACTTTCCACACCTTCCTGTCGTGACAGATAAAAGCACAGAAAGGACAACCCTTGAAATCATGTAACATTGGTCATTTCCAGTTTTTGTACCTGTTTTAAATTCTGTTAGTGTATTTACTTCATTGTAAATATTTTTGAGGGTACCTTTGTATTTTGCTTTTGACCTTGGTTCTGTGATTTGGATGTCAGCAACTTCCCTAAAAAGCACCAATATGTTAAGTTCTAATGTCATGACCCAATTTGTGTTATTCATCTTTAATCCTGTTTTCAGTCTCTATGTGTACAGCAGTATTTTTAATAAAGAATTACAGAGATAACTTTGTCCTTTTCTTGCACTGTTCATATAACAAGATGATGTTTATCTTATGATTCGGTTTTAAAAGGTTGGTTATTTCCTCTGCATTTTGGAGGAATTTTTGTATTTGGATGAATTGGCAGCAAATTTATTCATTAATTTATCAAATAGTCCTTAAGTCTTACTTCCTGTGTCCTTGGATCTGTTCTAGGCACTAAGACAGATATGGGGACTTGGTGTTTACAGAATATATAGTTATACCCAGACATCTTAATATAATACATGACTAACAGTATAGTTTAGGAGAGCAGACTACTCATGAGAAAACATAGGGAATGATACATAGCCAGTCTTTGATTTAATACTTAATGTATCATATAGGTGAGAGGCATCCCTTCCCCCAGATTCTCCAGAATCATTATTTAGACTATAAGGACAGATAAAATATGGCAAAATGTTAACATTTGTTGAACCTAGGTAGTTAGTATTTAGTGTTGAGTTTTTTTTCTGTGCATTGAAATGAAAAGTTGAAAACAAAAAACAATATGGTAAGCACCCCCACCCCCACCCCCCAACTGCTGTTTCACTTCCGGAGGTTTCAGTTACCTGAAGTACAGTTAAGATATTTTGAGGGAGGGAGACCATATTCACTCAACTTCTATTTTAGTATATTGTTATAATTTTTCTCGTTATTTTTATTAATCTCTTACTATGCCTAACTTATAAATTAAACTCTATCATAAGTGTGTATGTACAGGAAAAAACATAGTGTATACATAGGGTTTGTACTATCCACTGTTTCAGGCATTCACGTGGGGTCTCGGACCATATCCTTCATGGATAAGGGGGAACTACTAGACAGATATGGTAAGGTGCTTGAGGTATAGGTGAAGGGTAATTAGAATAAAAAGGAGAGATTATTTCCAGCAGCATGACTTGGTTTTAGGAATTCAGAGGAGAGAAGAAGTGCAAGGAGGGCTTTTGTGTAGAGGATATTGAAAGAAATTGTGGATTCAGATGGAAATCAAATGACCACTGTAGGTCATGGGATAAAAGGTGGACTAGTCTCCTAGAATGGAGTGTTTGGAGGATCTTTTAGCTTTAAATTTCTTAGAAGGAAACATTAGGAATATTGTTTTGTTTTTTGAGACAAAGTCTAGCTTTGTCACCCAGGCTGGTATGATCTAGGCTCGGTGCAACCTCTGCCTTCCAGGTGCAAGCGATTCTCCTGCCTCAGTCTCCCGAGTAGTTGGGATTACAGGTGCCCACCACCATGCCTGGCTAATTTTTGTATTTTTAGTAGAGACAGGGTTTTACCATGTTGATGAGGCTGGTCTTGAACTCCTAACCTCAAGTGATCCACCCGACTCGGCCTCCCAAAGTGCTGGGATTACAGGTGTGAGTCACCACATCTAGCTTGCTCATTCTTTAGTTTATTGAATGCCTGTTATATGCCAGGCATTGTTCTAGGAACCAAGAGAAAAGCTGTGACCGCAACAGACAACAATTTTCTGCTGCTTAAGAGCTCCCATTCTAGCAGGGAGAAGACAGATACATGGTACATTAGCAGGTAATAATGGTTTTGAGAGGAAAGCAGAGTAAATGGTGTGAGTTGACAGATTTGGCAAATAAAAATACAGAACACCCAGATGAATCTGAATTTTGGATAAATGGATAACTTGTTTTAGCATGAGTATATATATCTCAAGTATTACATGGGACATACACTAAAAAATGGTATGTCCCAGTGTTGCATGGGACATATATATATACTAAAACATTCTCTGTTGTCTGTCTGCGATTCACATTTCCTTTGGCCATCCTGTGTTTCATCTTGCAACCCTAGATATGAGGAGTGTGGTTGGTGGGGGTACAGTTTCACGTGGGGTGGTGGTCTGGAAAGGAGGCCTCACAGTATGTGAGCAAGGACTTGAAGGAAATGGAGGAGTCTGCCATGTGTATATCTGGGGGTAAAGTATTCAGGTGAGGGAATGTGTCAGAGCCTTTGCAGAACAGCAAGGGAGCGACTGAGGTGAAGCGAATGTGGTAGAGCCAAGTCAAGTAGGAATGACGTCATAAAGGTCTGTAGGGAAGGGGTGTGTCCTGTGGACCATTTTAAGTTATTTTGGCTTTTACCCTCAGTAGAAGAGGAAGCTGCACCGGACAAGGTGGCTCACGCCTGTAACCCCAGCACTTTGGGAGGCCGAGGCAGGCAGATCACGAGGCCAGGAGATGGAGACCATCCTGGCTAACACGGTGAAACCCCGTCTCTATCAAAAATGCAAAAAAATTAGCCGGGCGCGGGGGCGGGCGCCTGTGGGCCCAGCTACTCGGGAGGCTGAGGCAGGAGAATGGCG